CAACGAAGAAGACCCTGTCTCCACTAGTGTGACAGCTGGAACACCAATGAAGTATGAAGGGTCAAAGCTTGCTCGGATGTCTCTTTTTCTTTTGAGTCTCATTTTGTTTTCTTGTGTTTCTGCTTTACTTTTGGGGAAGAGACAGTTTACACAAAGGAAGATTCTTGCTCATGGATTTGATTCCAAGGGGCTGGGCCTCCCAGGGGAGGATGAGCTGCGAAGGATCCTACTTCGCCTCCACAGAGAGTGTGGGGCCTCTGTCCCTTACTGAAGGAGGTTTTGCTTTCTGTTTCATGCATCTCTTCTTAGATTGTGTCCCTTCACCCAACACAAACACTCCCCTGTCCTCTGAGTGGCCGCTAGGTCTGAGACTCAGTGTTTTGTTTGTTTGGTTCTCTCCAGCCTTGAAGATCCCTTGCCACCTGTCGACTTCCACTCATGTACCTGGTCTGGCCTGGGTGCCACCTGGTCCATGAAGGCTCCAAATACCCTTCCCGCTTCATCCCAGGGCACGGGACTTTCTACCTTCCATTGTCCTTGTGGGTTAGTGAATTCTGTTTCTGGGCCCCCTGCTGCATAGTGTGCACCTGGGAATTAGGCATTGTTCTCAGTGAACACACAAGACCATGTTTTATAACATACGTTGTATTCACTTTGTATATGATACTCATTACCCTCTCATCTGTGCTGTGGGATGGTATTTGGCTAAGGACCAATGACCTCTGATTACCAGCCTGAGGCCAGCAGATCCCCAGTTAGAATGTATAGTTAAAGCTTTTGAAAGTTATTTTTTTTTAACTTATATTATAAGGGTTTAACCTGGTCTTCTTGTGCTACTTAGAAGCTCTGATTGGCAGCTTTAGATTTCTTCATTAAAAATCTCAATAAACTGGACTGGGGATATAGTCAGTTGGGAGAGTCCCTGTGTCATGTGCACAAGGCCCTGGGTTCAATCCCCAGCAGCACAAAAAAACAAACAAACAAAAAAAAAAAAACAAAAAAAAAAACCTCAATAAACTAAATTGGGGCAATCTTTCAATGATAAAAGGTATTTTTGCTGAAAAAGACTGGGAACTGTTCTACTTGGTTCTTTTTTTTTTTTTTTTTAAAGAGAGAGTGAGAGAGGAGAGAGAGAGAGAGAATTTTTTTTAATATTTATTTTTTAGTTCTCGGCGGACACAACATCTTTGTTGGTATGTGGTGCTGAGGATCGAACCCGGGCCGCACGCATGCCAGGCGAGCGAGATACCGCTTGAGCCACATCCCCAGCCCCCTCTACTTGGTTCTTATTGAAAAAATTTTGAATTAGTGTGTATACAAGTTATTGTCATTTCTTTATATTAATTCAGAAATTATCTGTCAAGTAAATAATAATTTTTCAATTTATAAATAAATAAAAAACAATATAGTGTTCAAAAGTCCATGGGAGACATGGACTTTGCCCTTAAGGAACTTCAAAAGTGTTTGGCAATATTTGACTAAGTATAAACATGCATTCATTCAACAAACATATACCGAGTGCCTATTCATCTTAGGAGCTGTGCTAGATCCTGGGGCTTCTGTGACGAGTTATGCAGCTTGTAAGCTTCTTGGAGAGRGAGTAAAAAACACCAGTGTTTGGGTGGGTCAGTGGGGGTGCCCTTAACGGGAGCTGCTGTGTCCCCACAGGTGAGGGATGTCTTCCATGAGGTCCAAGCAGTGAGGCAGAATGAGCACTTGGGGATACTGGGGCCATCAATCTGGCTGCTCTGGTCTCAGAACTGTGCAAAGAAAAGGGAGGAGGAGAATTCCTTTTGGAGAAGCTGGGTTTGGGTAGATGGCCAATGCAGATCCATCCATGTGGACATGTCCAAGAAGCACTTCCAAAGGTAGAAATGTGACCCCTGGCCAGGTAAGAAGCCGGTTACAGTATTCTGAAGCAGCAGCTAGAGAAAAGGAAGGTGGGAGGTCTTGGGAGAGGAACTGAGATGCCGGGTGGAGGAAGGAGGGCTTGGCGGAAGGCAGGTGAGGAGGGGAGCAAGCTGTTCTTTGGAAACTCAGAACAATTCTTAAAGAGAGTGGGGAGTGGGGAGTGGCTCATCTGTGCCTCCAGGACACTGAGAATCCACAGAGGGGTCCTGGATTTCCCATGTAAATCAGGGAGCACACATAATGCATGTCTTGGTTCCCACCCGGCACCCAGAAGAGCATGTCCTCTCCCCTTCCTGGCAAAAGCAGCCCAAGATCTAAAGCCAAGGCCAAGCAGGTCTGCAGCATCTGGCCTCCTGGGCCTGGCAGGGAGGTGGTGCAGGCTGTCTGCATGGTGTCAGCGGCCACCCTTCCCCACCACTGACTAATGATGGGACGCCAGCATGGCCTTTGAGCTTCAGAGATGAAAGGGGCCACTGCCGCTGGGGGTAGGCAGGTGGGACAAGCAGGTCAGGGCAGGTCTGCCTAACAGCTCAGCAGAGCTGGCCTCTCCCTCACCCCACCAGCTCCAAGTCACCTCTCCCCTACAGCTTTGCACAGAAAAGAGCCCGAGGCTGGCCTTCAGTGAGGGAGGACTCTCTCCTAGGCCTAGCCCTCGGGGAAAACAGAGTTCATTCAGCCTTTTCCAGAGGACAGGCCTCTTACACACTGCTGACACCAAGACCCAGGCTTGGGACCAGCCCAGGGTTGCTTCTTTGGGCCAGCATAGGCCTCACAAAAGAGGCGGGGTGCTGGCCACTGGGGTTGGAGCCACACCCAGGAGCAGTGAGGAGGTTTTGGAAATCAAGGCGTGGCCACCCTGACCCAGGAACCCCTGCTCCACCCATGTCCCTCAACCATTTTTGGCACTGGCCAGGCTTTCCCCTGCTTGGCCCCTCCCCCATCCCTGCTCTGATAAGATGGTGAGTTTAGGGGGTAGCACAGCTGGGGGAGGATGGATGTAGCTGCGGGGGAGGGGGCTGGAATGAAGCCCCCCAGCAGGGGCCCGTCTTCCTCTCCTGGCTCCTTTGTCAACTCACTTTCCTTCTTGGAGTCCTCCTTTCCTCACCTAGGAAATGGAATCAGGAATGCACACTATTGTGCATTTTAGAGGACCCATTTTAGAGGAGCGTTGTGAGTAAGCGCAGGAAGGTTCCAACTTTCCCAATAGTCAGGTTCTGTAAATGCTGATGGTTGCTGCCGTCTTATCAGTTTTCAACGTGACGTCCATAGAGCCCAGACATGGGGGCTCTGTGGCGAGCTTGACGTACAAGAAGCATGTGTGGGCATCTGTCTGGTGGATAGCTCTTGTCAGTTCTCAAAAAAGGGACCCAGCAGATTTAAGACACAGGTCAAGTTTCAGATGAGCCAGTGGAACCAAGGTCACACAGCTTGTAAGAGGCAGAGCCAGGATGTGGCAAGCGAGGGGAAAGAAATGCTCAGAGGGACCCAGGAGGGAGGGAACCAGATACAGAGCCCAAGCCCTTACTCTCTATCACCAGGATGAGGGCTTCGTGGTGGGTAGGGGACAGTGAGAGACAGGAGAATGAGGAAGCCCCAAGGATAGGGAAGAGGCCTGGGAGTTCCTTCTAGGAAGCCCCACCTGCTAAATAAGTGAGCCATCCTGTTTCCCAACACCCACCCCATGCCAGGCCGAGGAGGAAGCACAGCTCTCTCTGTCACTGACCATCTTGAGATACCTTCCCTGGTTTTTAGTTTCTGGAAAATAAAAATGGGGTGTGTGTGTGTGTGTGTGTGTGCTGAAGTTGTGGCTCAGTGGTAGAGCGCTTGCCAAGCATGCGCGAGGCACTGGGTTCGATCCTCAGCGCCACATAAGTGTAAAATAAAGATATTGTGTCCACCTAAAACTAAAAAATAAATATTAAAAAAAATTGGAGGGTGGGGAGGTGGGAGTGGGCGAAAACAGCTCTGTGGAACGTGCACGGCAGGAGAGGCTGGGGAAGATACCTTGCCAAAGTTCTTGGGAAACATGATGGGCCACACTCAATGTAAAGGAGCCCTAAGGTTTGGATCTGGAATGTTCCCCGAAGGCCCATGTGGTAGACGCTTGGTTCTCAGTGTGCCCCTACTGGCCAGTAATGAAAACTTTGAGAGGTCTAGTGGGGGGCCTTCAGGTCACTGGAGGTGTGCCCTGAAGGGGCTAGTGGGATCCCACCCGGCTCTTCCTCTCTTACTTCCTGGCCACCACGTGAGTAGTTTGTTCCACTACATGCTCCTGTCATGATGTGCCACCATAGGCCCAAGTGATCATGGACTGAGACAGTTAAAACTCTGCACTGAAATAAAGTTTTTTTTTTCTCTCTATAAGTTGATCATCTCAGGTATTCATTACAGCTGACACACAGGCAGTCATCACCCAAAGATGCCAGGTATCAAAAAAAACCTGAGTGCCAGGCCTGGGCTGGATGCTTTGCCTACATCAGTCTGCACGTCAGGACTTCAGGAGGCCTTCCTTCCCCACCCTGTTAGAGTCAACTCTCTCTTCTTCCCCACCTCCTAGTTACTCTCTCACATGTCCTTTTCCTTTCCTCTCCACCACCTGTCCTAATTTTGGATGTTTCTGTGTGTTCTTTTTCTTCTCCGCCACTTGATGATGTTMTTTCCTAGGAACCATGGCAGTGTGTTAATGGCTGTATATCCATGCAAACATAGTGCCGGGCATTTAGCAGTTACCCAAATACTTGTTAAATGGATGCATGGCTGTCTGTAATCTTCACAATAGCTTTATGGGATAGTTATTGTTGTCATGCATGAAAGAAGAGATCAGAGACGTGTTTAAGCACATAGCTGTTATCACCAGATTTTTGCTCTGCTCCTTCCCCTGAGGGATCTAGAGAACAAGAAAACCTAAGGGTCAGAAGAGAAATGGTTCACTGGTTCAGATGGTACCCAGTGCTGCGTGATTCCCAGATCAGTCCGCCCAACATCCCGCCACACCCAGTGACTCTGAGTTAGCAATCCACAGCCACAGAGCTGGAGGCCAATCCAAACTGGCCTGTTTATTTCCCAAGCCAACTAAGACCAAGCCCTTCTCCACCCACCCCAGAACAGTCTACAGCTGGGAGTCCACACCCTACTCCTCAAGCCTTAATRTAGCAGATAAATTAGTGAATGAACTCTTTTATAAAACATTGTGTAGAGGAAATACATACATATTTATAGAGCCAGTGCTGGTATTGGGATGGGATTTGTTGCCTGAACACAGGTAACCAGAACTTGCCCTATTAGAGTGGCTGGCCTTAGTCACCTGGGTGCCCACCTTCCTTGCACTTTCTTTCCTTGAAGTGATTGACTTCTGTTGCTGCAACCCAGTACCTCAGCTAGTGACCATAGATCAAAAGAGTCAACTCCCAAAGGGAGCTGCTTTCTGGCGGCCCCCTACTGGCCTGCTCCTATGAGGTGGGTCACTCCCCTGCCCTCCTTCTTACTTAGACAGGCAGCCTTGGTCTGGTCCCAGGTATTCAGCTGAACTTGACCTGAAGATAGGAACTTTTTAAAAAATACAAAGGGCCTAATTCATGGAAACAGGCATAAACCTGGACTGCCCAGGCAAAGGACCAATGCTTACCCTACTGTAGTTTCACCTGCTCTGGACTGGCCCAGTCCTACCACTCTTAATGTTTCGAAACCTATTTCCCCATCAACAATAAACTTCTCTTGAGTCTCTACTCTCCAAGGCCTTCCAGAGTCTTCTACACATTTTAAGGCATCAATGATATTGGTGATGTATTGGGGTTAGAACTAATGCCCCCTCCAAATCCCATATGAAACCAGGCCATGTAGGACCCCTGGTGTTGAGTCCTGGATCTTTTGGCTCCTTGGGCRTGCTTCCCCAAATCAGGGATGCATGGGTCCGAATTAAAAAAAATCAAGACGTGATCCTGTCAACTGCCGAGTCTTTTCTCTGTGGKTCTCCCTGTAGCTAAGGGCCAGGGTCAAGAAGAAATTAACCTGTCTGTGGCCTTGGTCAATGCAAAAGGCTTCTATTCCATCACCTTCTCCATATGTTGTGCATGCATAGTATTGGTCTGCTTCCGTGCAGCTAGGAACCCCAGGTATCGCCTCTTGGTGGCAACAGGTGGAGGCTAAAGAGATCTATCTAGTGACCTGCACCCACCCCAACAGGGATGGTCCTCAGCCCTTTGTGAGGCATCCCATGAGTAAGCACCCATCCTTTGCTTCTAGGACCTGTTTCATAGGCCATGCTTGTAAAACTGCTTTAAATAAATCTTGCTAAAGCAGATAATACCAGATAACGGAAACTCAGCGCCCAGGCCCTGAACGTTCTCCTCTCCTCCCCTTTGCCCCTCCCACCCCCATCTGCATACAGTTCACAGCAGCTCCGGTGCTCCGGGAAAACAGAAGCCCACTCAGTCTTCCTTAGGCCACTGCTTCTGGCTCATTTGTTCGAGGGTCCTCAGGGAGCCAGACTCCTCCATGTCTGAGTCAGGCTAATACCTGCTGCAACCCTCCCACCCCCCACAGAAACAAGTGCGCAGATCCAACCCCTTGGAGTAGAGCTGAAAGAACTCTGGGCTCAGGATGTGGCCTTGCGGTGAGCTCCTGARTAGGCATAGGAGATGGGATGACGGGTTCCAGGCCTCACGGTGAATGTATTGATGGGGCTTCCATAATGGGAAGTGATGTGAGGAGATCTGGGGGAGAGCAAAAGAGCAGTGAGGTTTGTATCTGCAGTTGGTTGACCAACACCCTGCCTATCTTCCCTAGGGCAAGGGACCCAAGGGACTCGGGGCGGGACCCCCAGTCCACCACACACAGGGCTTTACTTTTTTTCTGGGTCCTGGCCAGGGAACATGCCTAATACCACTCAACTCAGAGCTCTTCACTCCTAGCCTGGGGTCTGGGTACATTTCGTGTTATTGGGAAATCCCTCCAGCCAAGGACACTCAGATCTTCCCCATGCAACATTTAACCTGTAGCCCCGGGAGTGGGGGACAGAAGGGAGCCCATGGAGAGCGAACAAGGGCAACAAGGGGGCAGGTAAGGAAAGGCCCGTACCGCCCCCTCCCAGGTTAGTAAGCCTCTCTTCCCTTTCTCAGCAAGCCACAGCTGATCTGCCGTGGCCTGGTCAGCAACTCTGGTCCGAAGGCAGTGTCTCCATGGACATCACCTGGCTTCCCACCCCAGGCTACTCCATTAGCGGATCCCCAAGCTCACCTGCCGGTAGCAGGGACGAAGCTGTAGTCTGCGCCGCCGCCGCCTCCGCCACCCGGCGCTTTGTACTTGGCCTCCGCGGCGCCCCGGGCAGCGCCCTCCTGGGACAGCCTGCGCGCGTGCAAGCCGCCGGGGGGCGCGCGGCCCGCGGAGTTGACGCGCCGCATCTCCGGGCCTCCGGGCGCCCCGAAGGGCCCTCCGGGCGCCGGTCCGAAGCAGTTGGGAGTGCTCAGGCTGCGGCCGGGGGCGCCACGGGGCAGCCCGGGGTTGCGGGGAGGCTCCCCGACGTACAGGCGCTTCTTGATGAGCGAACGGCTCCCACCCGAAAAGCGCTCCAGGCCCCCGGCCCCGGAGTAGAGCGCACCGGGAAAGCGCGAGAAGCCACGAGCCGGCGGGGCCGCAGGGCCCGCGTCCAGGGGCTGCCCCAAGTCTGAAAAGTTGTTCCGTGCTGGGGACCCCCGGTAGCCCACGTACTGGAGGGCCGGGGCCGGGGCGGGGGGCTCAGGGTCATTGCTGAACTCTGGCGGCGGTGGGATGACCTCAAAGCTGAATTCCGGTTCCTCTTCCTCCTCCTTCCTCCTGTAGGAAGGAGAGGGTGGAGAGGAGGAGGACTTGGGCAGCAGGCGACCATGGGAGAGGTTGGAGGGAGCTGGTCTTTCCCAGGCCACAGGGACTCGGGGCTCTGCCTTGGTCCACATGGGACGATGGATTGGCTCTTGGTCTCTTCCCTGCGGGGGCTTCCACTGACTGGGTGCCATGGGCGGTGCAGCTGAGGTCAGCTGGGAGTCCTTCTCAGCGTCCTTGGGTAACTTGGGAACCACAGTGAAGGAGTTGGGCCGGCCATCGCTGTAGAAGATGCTGTCGGAGCTAGCCTCAGGATGGCTCCTGTGGCCCCGGAGACTCCCAGGCAGGGAAGACCGCCCCAGGGCTGCCCCTCCAGACCTCCCCTTCTGTGCTCTCTGCCTGGCTGCCAAGAGCAGGGCCATGGGGGAGCCCTGTTCCACCACCTCCCCAGTCACTGGGTGTCTGAGGAGTTGGTCAGCAGGCGGGGCTGGGGCAGGGGGTTTGACTGGCAGGCCCTGGGGCTCCTTCTCTTCTGACTCTGCTGCCCCTCCTCTGGCCAGTGTAGGCATCACCACAGCAACCTCGCGGCTAGGGCTGTTTTGGCTGCRATGGGGCTTGTAGAGAAATGGCACTTCTTCTGGGTTAGGGGACATCTTTGGTAGGAGGGCTGGAGAAGAGGGGGCTTCTGGTATGGGCAGCCTATTGGCCTCTGATATGGGCTCCTTGGCTTCTGGCTGGGAGGATACCATACTCTCTTGAGATTCTGTCTTCTCCTTTTCTGCCATCAGTTGGGATGACCTAATAGGCAGAGTTGTGGCTGCAGATGATATGGTCGGCTCAGGTGTGGCCTTGGGTGGTGTGGCTGGCTCAGGTGTGGTCAGCCCAGGTGTGGCCTTGGGTGGTGTGACTGGTTCAGGTGTGATCAACCCAGATGTGGCCTTGGGTGGTGTGGCTGGCTCAGGTGTAGTCAGCCCAGGTGTGACCTTGGTTGGTGTGGCTGGTTCAGGTGTGGTCAGCCCAGGTGTGGCCTTGGGTGGTGTGGCTGGCCCAGGTGTGGCCTTGGGTGGTGTGGCTGGCCCAGATGTGGCCTTGGGT